CGCCTCCCCCGGATTCCGGGCCCGGGACCCGCACCTCGGAAGCGTGCGAGGGTCGCGCCGGCCGGGCAGGGCCCGGCCGCCACCACCTTAGCACTGAGCACACACGCGCTCACGCAGGCAGCTAAATCCATCAAAGCCCCGCGCTGGGCTCGGAGCACAAGCGCCGGGGTTCCCCGCGCGCCCCTCCCTCGAGCTTGCCCACCCTCCAGTGCCAGCTGCAATCCTGCGGCACCGGGCGGGGAGGGGAGGAGGCCGCCGCAGAAGCGCCGCCGTCGCCGGCTCGCCTCTCACGGGCCCCAGCGGCGGCAGAGGGCAGCGCCCTGAGCTGCTGCGCCAAAAAGGGCTGGAGAGCCGGCCCCCGGCCCCCGCCCCGGCGCTCGCCTTTCACCGTTTGGATTCAGGGCCCCTGCTTTCCCCTCTCCATAAAAGGAGGGGGAGTCAGTCACTGGAGAGAGGTGGGGCGGGTTCAGGGAGAACGTCCGGGGAACTCACCTGGCGGCTGCCACGCGCCCCCGCCCAGGATCCGAAGCCTGGGGCATCTGAATGAGGAGCCACCACCCACATTTCGACATGTGAGGGAGCCCAGGTCGGAGGAAGGGGCTGCAGCCTGCCTCATCCCCACCGTGGGACGCTGCGGCCCCCAAGGCTCCTCTCCCTTCTGGATGGTCGGGCCGCACCTTGAGCCGGGAAATCGAGGGGGTGGAAGGGAACGAAGAAAAAGGAGCCGCACGTGAGGAACCCCCAGGTGCTCAGCTCCCTGCGTCCGAATCCGCGGGGCGCACAGAGCGCCGCCTCCGGGCAGGGAGCAGCACAGCCCCGGTGCGGGGGAGCACTACGCACAGAGCCAGCGGTCTGAGCGCGGCTGGACGGCTCCCACGCCGCGAAAGGGCAGTGCGCCCGCGCGGGTGGCTTCCGCCTGCCTAGGCCAGGTGGGATGGGACCCTGACTGCGAGCCCATATGCCCAAGAGAGTGCCTCCTCCAGGGTGTGTACGTGCCCTGGCAGCACGTCTAGGGAGGTGGCGGGCAATGCCGACCCCAAAGCTAGGTGGCCTACGCCCCTGAAGCTTAGGAGACGCGAGCGTGGGTGTGTGGGCGGCCGAGGAGAATTCTGCCGGCTCCAGCCATCTCACCCCCCCATCCTGGAGATTAAGCCCCCGCCCCCGCCGCGGCTGCCCTCCCGCCAGACAAAGTCAGTAAAGGCGCAGCCCCGCGGGCGGTTTTTCGTCCCCTGCTCGGCTGGCTCGGGCATTTCAAAGGCCCAGTCCTAAGTGCGCTTCGGGGCGCTAGCCTGCCCCCAAATATCTGGGGGGCGGGGCCACTCCTGCTGCTTATAGTGGGTCCGCGTCCACCCGCACCCTTCCACACTCCTGCAGCTCCCACCTTCTCCACGTCCCTCCCTCTCCCGGGCCACAGCCCCACGCTGCACCCCCCCTCAAGTCAGGCGCGCTCTCGGGGTGGTCAGGAGAAAGCAGGCCTGAGACAGAACAAGGGAAAACTTGGAAACGTCGAGAAGCATCTGAAAGCCAGGCCTTGTACGTCCAAGTGAAACCTTCTTTTGCTCTGGAGAAGGAGACCCCCTGTATGGTTCTGGAAGGCAGCCCAACAGCCACTGCCAGGACCCAGGATGGACCCGGATCCGATTCCTCACCTACTTTTCCCGAGGGTTGTGCCTATCGTGTCCAGCTGAGCCTCGGACTCCTCGAGGCCAGAGGGGCCCAAGGATACCTCTTTGGTGCTGGAGAACTCGATGTGACAGTGGGTGTGGACTTCAGCAAGAAGTATTGCAGGCGGGATACTTGGCCCTCCCGACCCCAACCCTACACATTGAGGTTCGCGTGTGCCTTGGGGGTCCCCGCCTTCTCCGAGGGCCTGGTGGGTCCTTCCCACTGCTCCCCTCCTGGCCTGGCGCTACACTGCCCTGCGCTAGTTTAGGGCCAGGAAGGGAGACCTGGGGACCCGGAAGGAGGCGCCTCGGCAGGAGCGAGGCGAGGAGCGACGGCAGTCCGGGTGCACCACCCTGGGACGCCAGGGCTTCAGCGACAGCGGCACAGGCATCTCACTAATCGCCGGCGGCTATTAAAAATAAAACCGCGACCCGTCGTCATGACGACCACAACAACAGCGGCCGCGCGAGGGAGGCAAAAACTTGTGCGGCCGCGCGACAGCCGCCTTTGGGGGACACGCGGGACACGGCGCGCCCTCGGGTCGCGCGCCCTGGGACCGACTCCTGGCTGTGTGCGGGAGGGAGACGCGCCCCAAACAATCCCACCCGAGGTCCGACCAGCGTGGGACAGCGACCCCTACCCTGCCCCCCCACCCTCTCCGGGACCCTCGGAAGAAACTGGAAGACTTGGGTCCCTAGGGGTTGTCTTCCGAGGATTGGATACTGAGGTCGTGGGACTGACTTAACCAAGAGGTCGCCGCCTTGGATGAGAACCCACGCGGGCGTGGGCCCTCTCCCCGGCCTTCATTTCTCTGACAAACTCCAGTCCTCATTTCAGCCCCTGGAGAAGGGGACAGAGAGAGGAGGGCCGGAGGGGAGGCGGTGCCACTGGAGGCCAGGCACGCATGGCTTTGCGCGGAGGCCGCAGCACCTGCCCCGCCCGCCCTGTCGCTGATTCTGGCTGAGGGGAGTGGTCACATGCTTCTTTCTGGCCGGGAATCGAGTTTCACTTCCAGCCGCTATTAGGCGGTTCACACGGTTCACTGCAAACATTTGATAATGAGGCTAAATATACTTTGGAGTCGGAGAAGGCGTGGGCGGCCGCTGCCCGAGCGCGTGGGCGCGGCGTTCCAGGCTCCGCGGGGCATCCCCGCCCAGGCCCAGGAGGCAGAGGCGCTCACCCTGGGACCGACTCCTGGCTGTGTGAGGGAGGAAGACGCGCCCTGCGCCCAAAACAATCCCACTTAGGCCGCAGCGCGCATCTGGGAAGCTGTGGGCACCCCGAGGTCAGCCACAGGGCCCCTGGGGGAAGAAGGGGCGCTGGGGGGAGCTGGGGGAAAGGTGATGGTGGGAGGTGAAGGCGCATCTGGCGGCTTCCGGATGTCCGGGCGTCCCAGGCGCGCCTGGACGTGCCGGCCGCTCTGTGCTCCAAACAGGCCGAAAGAGGGGGGCCGTCACAGACGTCTGCCCCTTGCATGTTCCCTCCCACCATCCCTAAGACCCCCTACACCCAGGGAGGGGCCTTGGCCATTCCTCAGGGCAGGGTAGGAGGCTACAGGGTCTAGGAGCCCAGCCCTTGGCACATGCAGGCTGGCGTGTCACCCTCCTCAATGCATCCCCACTCACTGCTGCACAACCAGTGCCTGTCCAGGGCTTGACACCAACAGGTGCTCAATTATTGCTGTCATTGTCAGTAGTAGCACTGAGCACTTGGAGTGTGCCAGGCTGGGTGCTAAGCGCCAGGTGGAGACTCATGCCACCCCCACTTAATGAGAAGACAGTGGAGCCATTTGCCCGAGTCCCAGGCAGTGGGGCTCACGATCCCACGGGCCACTCTGTGCAAGCTCTGTAAACACGCAAAATCTGAATTGCCCAGGCAGTGTTTGCGCCTCCGGCTTACAGGCAGCATTATGGAGGATGATGCGGTCACCTGGCAAGAAGTCACCAGGGCTTGAGCCCAGGCCCACGGCATGGGGGAGGGGAGGGACAAATCCAAGTTCCCTCTCCTCTCAGTCCCTTGACCTTGGCCTTCTGGTGTGATTGTCCCTAGACTGCCCTGGGTCCTGTTCCCTCATCTGGGAAATGGGAGGTGGGAGAAGCAGCACACCTCCCAGGGGCTGTGATGTCCCCCAGCAAGGGCGTGGCTGGCCAGCTGCCTGCGCCTGGGTTGGACAGGTGGGGGCCAGCTGGGCACCCAAATCCAGGCCCCTGCCCCAGTGCCAGAGCGGATTTGGGAACAATTTGTAATGATGAAACACCAGGTTTCCCTTTATCTCTGGGCAAGGCTTTCTTCATTCTAGGCTATTAATCCATAAGCAGCCTCAGCCTGTGGGCTCGGGCCCTTGAAGATCAAAAGTGCCCAGTGCAGGCGTTAATTAAGTCATTATCTTGGCAGCCCCAGGCCCGTGGCTGGGGATCAGGCCCATCCAGTTCATTCTCCCCAGAGAGGGAGATAAGCCGGCCGGCAGGGTGGGAAGCCTCTCTCAATGTTGTTTTAACTCCCTATTAAATATTTTTATTTTCTCTTTTAAATATACAAACAGAAACGAAGCTAAAAATAGCCCAGGAGCTCACAATCATTCTGTGAATATGGTGTGAACCAAGACCTATGCTAAGGGATTCCTGGCGGCGAGAAGAGCAGGACGGCCACGGAGTCTGGCCAGCCCTGGGCTGTCCAGCCAGGAGCACGGCCTGCTGTGGCCATCGAGCATGTGACGCGTCTGAGCTGGGATGTGCTGCAAGTGTGGGACACGCGCCAGCTTTAGAGGATTAGTACCAGGGTAAGAATGCGAAATTTCTCACTAGGAATTTTTACAT